GACTTCTCTAGAAGCATTATAAGGTAGAGAGAACCTCTATAAGTCTTAATAATGACCAAGTTGTACTTGCAAGGTGGTGAAATCAATTATAGGAATATTTTTTACCCTGTTACGCTTGTTTGTTTCAATCTGAATATGCACAAATGGCACGTGGCACAAAATTGCCAATATAAAATTTGCCAATTTTCTTTCCACTGGCAATTTTGCTAAATATTACTCCCGCCAATAAATCATCTTGTACAGTATATGTCCACCCTGGCACACTTAAGCCCACCATACACTAGGCAACATGTTGCTTGCAACATTTGTGGTTACTTTGATCTTGTAATCTACATGTTGCTAAGAATAGAAATCAGTTCCATTTTTGCAACAAGTTGCTCAAAAGATCAAAGAAAACCACAAGTGTTGCTGTAACATGTTCCCTGGTATATGGCTTTACATTTCTTCTATACACATTTGTATTGGAGAAAACAAGCCTTAGCAACCAGTGGCCCATGCTCCTCTACGTAGGTAGGTGTGGTCACGGCAAACAAAATGGTGGCTTACACATGGGACATGAGCTTTCTAACAGCAAGAGAACATTGAGATACTGCCTAAAGACTTCTCTAGAAGCTTTTGAAGGTAGAGAGAGCCTCTATAAGTCTTAATAAGTGCCCAGCTATTCATGCAAGGTGGTGCAAACAATTATAGGAATAATTTTTACACTTTTGTGCTTGTTATAGCTCATTTGACTTCAGTCTCAGTCGGTGCAGATAATGCACCATTAAAAGCAATGAATCATAGTCTACTCTTTATCTCCATCATGCTGCATGATAGAAATTAAGACCATGGTTCATTGCTTTTAATATTGCATGAGTGCAAGAGCAACTGCAGCAAGTCCAAGCACCATAGATGTCTCATTATTAAAAGCAATTATCAGATGTCTGAACCCTGAACATTGTTTGAATGTAATTTCAAGCTCTGCTAAAAGGTGACGTTCTTAGACCATTGATTTGTGGAGCCACCAAAACTCTTTAAGAAGCTGGACGTGCTAATGCACGAGATTCTCAAAGATAAACAAACGAGAAAGAGAGTGGTCAAAGAGAAGATGGAGAGGAAAAGGAGAACGTGTGTGGAGTGTATGTGCATGCGTGAACAAGATAATAGCAATAATAATGTTAATAATTTATTCATTAGACTACTAATGCTAGCAGCAGCAAATAATAATAATAATAGTAATGATAAGATAAGGGTAATCAGTCTTAGAAAGTCAGAATAAAGTAATAATAATACAAGTTACTTTTCTAGTCACTAAAGATTCATATTCATTAAATCACACACATTCTACTGTCTATCGTGGACTTGGGCCAAGCTGCTTTGCCACTCAGGCTAGGTGGCTTATTTGAGGCCAGGTTTGGTGGTATTTTTGTGGTGATAAGTATATATGTACTGCATACTGTTAACAAATTTTATAAGTATAGTACTGAAAATGGATATAAGAGAAAGTAGAATCTCATTAATTATTTAAATCGTCATTGTGGAGGTATAGACATTTTGTCAATGTATGGAGGCTGACCATTTTATGTTAACCACTCTTTCCAGTCAAGATTAGATAAGATACATACAAAAAGTGGAAATATATTCAAGGAAACCAACTGTGATCCCTTTCTAATTAATGCAAGTGCCTGGGAACATGACATCATCAAGTGGCCACCAGTGGAGTCATTGGACCAATGTTATACTTTTTAATTGGCGTGTACACAAAGGAGAGCTTATAGGCCTACAAAAGCTTGAATACCTATAATTATTACATAAAGTATGGTCATGCTTTTTGAAATAGTGAGCTGTAATGGTTTTATTATTTTGGATGGGTTCATACTGTATACTATTGTTGTATTAAGGAGCAACCCTATACAGTGTGTTTATCGAAAAGTATTGTAAACCTATCACAACGATTGAACGATAAACCATATAATGCATGGACTGCTATCAACTGTGTCTTAGGAGAGGTCATTACTGCCCATTGTTCATGTATGGTAGGATAAGCTAATATTTGCAGTATATTTACAGAATATTATCTTATTACATGTATAGATGTGGTGAAACTTGCTGTCGCGTTGCAGCTGTCTTATTTTAAGTTTAAGCATGTTTCAGCCTTGAAATTGAGATAGTAACACAGACGCGTACGTCTCAACCATGTTTATGGAATCAGGCTTTTTAAGAAATTTAAATCATTAATAATTATCTTTAGTTTGAAATGCATTTGAAGAATTTTTTGGTTTGTTTTTATTCCTTAGGTTTCACCAACTTCCTTCTGAGTATCCTTCTGAGTATTGATAAAACAATGTTGGTACATAATCAACGTTGGTAGGATCTTAGAGTAGCAAGTGAATAATCAATGCTTATTATAAAGTGCAAAAAATACTTTAAATTTTCAGCACCCTTGTACCTCAGAACAACCAACTGCATAGCAATGAGACGGCATTTATACCTGACTTTTAAAATTTCATAATTTTTTCATTAGGTAGTATTATAATGAGGTATAGTCATTAATAAATTAGCGCCAAATGGATGTAATGTAAATGAAATTATACAAGTGCTTATAGCTTCTGTATTGTGCATACTAGCCTCTTTGTCTTGATTCATTTTTCTCATATTATTTTTGTTAATGTTCATAGGATGGTGAAACTCTGCTACATTGTGCTGGTGAATCTGGCAAAGTTGAAATGCTTGAGTTTTGGATTAAGAGAGGAGAATATGATGTGAATATTCAAGATAAAGTAATTCATTTCAAATTATCAAGTATTTCATGTTGTATTTATAGAGGAAGAGAACCCCGTTGTTAAATGCTGTTAAGAGTGGTAGTGTTGAAGCTGTTGATATTCTATTAATTAATGGAGCTAGAACTGATGTTGTGTCTGATGTAAGTATAGTGCTGGCATTTTTGTGAGTGATCAAAAATTAAAATGTGACATGCATTGTGTGTGCATTGTAGTAATCATGTGTTTCTTGTACGTAAAATGATTTTTCATTTTTTGAGTCACTAAGACGTGACATCCTTGAACCATTGATTCATATTAATTAACCCACACACCCATCAATGAAATATTGTACCCTTGAT